CTGTCCTATATCTATCACCCCTCAATTTAAAGCTATGTCCCCTCGTGCTAGCCATCACCATCCGAGGAAAAAGGCTCCCACTGTCCACCCTATCTAATCCTCTGATCATCTTGTAAAGACGCCAACCCACCACAATGCCCTGCAAGGCGTCCAAGATGACGGCTCCAAGTCTCTGGAGTGAGGCTCGGACCTTACAACATCCTCTAGGTCTAGCGGTGAGAGACTGTTGCCTTCTCAGCTGTGGAGCTGTCAACCTTAAACTGAAGGGTAAAAACACCAGGGGAAAAAAAAAAAAGCTGCATCTGATTTTAGTTTAGACCTTGAGACACTCATTCTGTTTTCACACATCAGAGCACCTCCAGGACTCTGTCCCAAATCTCAAACGAGTGGCCTGCTCTTCCCCTGAAGGCTTTCTAACCCCAAAGCCAGCACCACCTCCACCTACCTCACCTTCATTCTCACACAACACAGGAAGCCATTTAGCTCACTGTGTGTTTCCTTTTGAAAGAGCGATTCATTTAGTTCCAGTCTCCTCCACACTCCGTTTCTAGAACCCCTGCAGTGTGGAAACAGGCCATTCGGCCCAACAAGTCCACACTGCCCCTCCGAAGAGCATCCCACCCAGACCCATTCCCCTACCCCTACCCCTACCCCTACATTTCCCATGTCTAACCCACCTAACCTACACATCTCTAGACACTACTGTAATTTAGCACGGCCAATCCACCCTACCCTGCACATCTTTGGACTGTGGGAGGAAACCGGAGCATCCGGAGGAAACCCACGCAGAAGCAGGGAGAACGTGCAAACTCCCACGCAGACAGTCGCCCGAGGGTGGAATCGAACCCGGGTCCCTGGCGCTGTGAGGCAGCAGGGCTAACCACTGAGACACCATGTTCTTGTCCCACAGTCCTGGAATCAGGACTTTTTAAGCTCAATTATTTATCTGGCTCTCCTCTTCGAAAGTTCCCACCGAGTCTGCTCCCACCGCCCTTTCGTGAAGCACTTTCCAAGTCACAACAACTCTGCGCATCAAAAAAAAATCTCATTTCCCACTCTTCAGATTCCCTTCACCCTCCTGCCAGTAGAACTAATCCTCCAGTCCCTGCTTGATCACAACCAGTTCTGTTTGCGAGCAAATCTCGCCTCAACCCTTTTTGCTGCAAGAACCCCCAGGTTCTCCAGGTAACTGAAGTCACTCGTAGCCTTAGTCCTATTTCTGCTCAACTCCATCTGCAATCGATCCAAAATGGCCCTCTCAGCTCAACCGTACTGTCTCTCCGATACCCGTCCCCCTCCTACAGCGCAGCATCACTTTAAGAAGAAACTGGACTCACTCTTTTTCGAATCATTTACTTCCAGGGGTTTGAGCCCGAGCTTGGCTCTCAGCTTGCTGCAGAGAACAAAGGACAATTAGGTCAGAAGGCTTCACTTTTCTATAAATGCCGATCACATTCTCAGGACAACCGCGAGCATTTCACGGCCAATCAAGCAATTCTGAAATCTGCCAGACAGCCATCCTGCGCACAGCAAGCCCCTACAAATAAGGATGACAACGACGATGTAGTGTTACTAATGCTGGGTGGTGAATGAACGCTGGTGCTAAGGACACAGGGAGAATGCTCCTCCTTTGCTTCTTGGCTGTGGGATTTTTTTTTTTAAATAATCGACCCAACAGGGAAGATGGGGTTAACAAGGTGTAGAGCTGGATGAACACAGCAGGCCAAGCAGTATCAGAGGAGCAGCAAGGTTGACGTTTCGGGCCTAGACCCTTCAGTTTAACATGACAGCTCGGAGCTCCCTCAGTGCTGACCCTACGACAGCACAGCGCTCCCTCAGTCCCAAAAGGGCAGCCCTGTGCCTCTCATGTGGCCCATGGTCACCACCACGGATCGGATGGACCGAATGGCCCAAAACTGCTGCAAATTCACTCACTTTGTTTCTTCGATGCTCAAAGAGGCGCTCGCAGCACCGGACTTTGTTCCTGGAGCTGAAGGTTAAGAGAACGTGCAGTGAGAAGAGATTCACTCGACATGCAGTAAAATCCTAATCGCTGACCACAGCCACCTCCACCCACAACACCCCCTGGAATCCAGGAATGCCCAAAAGCTTAAAGCTTTTTGCAGGGACACATCTGCACTGGGCTTGCACACACCTCCAGATTTCTGCCCACAAAGACCCTCACCCAACAAACAATCCCTCCCAGTGTCCTACTCCTCACCTGGAGGGACCCTGTCTGTACCAACCTCACCCCAGCTGGTATAGGGGAGGGGGTACCTTGCCCCGGCACCTCACTGCAGAGAGACTCCAACCCCTCGCCCCCTGCTGAACCCCAACCTTCCCATCAACTAGGACTCTGGCCCCAGTCCTCAAAGATGGAAGAGGCTTTGGCACTGACCCTTGCTCCTGCCGGGGTCGGGGAGCGACTCAGACCCTCAGCCGCACCCACCGCCCCCCCAACGCGGAGAGAAAGAGACTCTGACCCCAAAGCTCACCCCGAACGGGTGGGGAAGGGAGGAACAGAAGGGACTCAGATCCCAAAGCCCACCCCGAACTGGGGAGGGGGGCAGGGAGGGGGTCAGAAGAGACTCTGGCCCCCAACCCTCGCTCCGCCCCAGGGTCTGCGGATTCCCTACCTTAGACCCGCCCCCCCAAATTACCCCGTGGGAAACCCTCGTCACCCCGGCATCTCTGACCTGCCTCCTCGGTCTTCTCCCTCTTGGGGTGCCGTTCTGGCTGGGCGTCGGCGGCCGGTGCCGGGAGGGGTCTCTTGTCCCGCTCGCGGTCCCTGTCCCGGTGACGGCGGCCCTCCCTCTCCCGGCTGCCCCCCCGCTGCTTGCGCTCCTTGTGTTTGTGTTTCTTGTGGCGGGCCGACTCCTCCCCACCCCCTGAGCCCCTCTCCCTCTCCCTCTCCCGGTGCTTCTTGGAAGATCCCATTGTCCCCCTTAAACCCCCCACAAAACCCAATCCCCTTTAGGTGGGGGGAGGTGGGGCAGGGATGGCTCTGACACCAGCAGGGGGCGCGCACTCGGGGGGGCGCGCTCGCGGTCACGCGCAACTCACTACCAGGCGCTCGGCCCGGCCCACGGCGGGCGTGAGCGCGCTCTACACAACCCCGCGGGTGGTGGGGTGCGCGCGCACTAGATGTCGGTCGCGCGCACCAAGGTTTGGCTGTCCTGGAAAACGCGCGGTCACGCGCCCGAGCGGTGGGTGTTGTGGCCGGGGTGGGGGAAGCACGCGCGCCCCAGGTCGGTCACGCGCGCCCAGTCACCCGGCGCCGGGAGCGCGCACTCACGGGGGAGGGGGACGGGGTAGGCGCGCGCGCGCTGAGATTTCGGGAACGGGGCTGCGGGAGGGAGTGGGGGGGCGGCGAGCAACGGGGTCGCGCGCTCGCAATCGACGGGTCGACGGGGGCGAGCTACATCCCGCGGTGAGTCGTCGGGGCGCGCACCCCTTTCCGTCGGACTCGGGGACGCGCCTCTTTTTAACGCGGGGCTCGCGCGCTATTAGGGAGCTCCGGCCAGGAACGCGCGCCGTTCACCGAAGCCGCGCCTTTCAGGGTTTAGTGGCGTGCGCGCTCCCCTTCCCTTCGGACACGCGTGCCGCGCGCTCCCGCTCCCGGGACCCGGTGTCTCCTCGCGCTCCGGCCAAAAGACGTCGCCTCCGACCAAGATGGCAGCCACTTCCGGTCGACCCTTCACCCCGTCCCCTCTCCCTAAACGTCACATCCTTCCCCGCCCTCTTAAAGCGGCTCAGTTTCTTTTATCCGCAGTTTTTAAAAAATCGATTATGTTTCCCTCCTAATCGTTTATTCACAAAAGATTCTTTTGGCCACAGCTTCCAGCTCGATTTCTCCATCCACTTTCACACTTCTACTGCTGAGTCTATTTAAAGTTGTACAATGGAAAGTCTTCCCCCCTCTAAAACACTCAATCCAGGCCACTCTCTCCAATCAGCATCTCCACACTCAGCACATCCTCATTGATCTTCAGCAAACCGGCCTCCAAATGCGCAGAAAGCCTCCTTCACTGTTTAATTTAATACCTTTTTCTCCCAGTAGGGAGAATGAGTGATGGGAACAGTGTTGAGGGAGCTTTATGTACAGTTTGGAGCTGTAGAGGAAGCTTTACTCTGTATCTAACCCCATGCTGTCCCTGTCCTGGGAGTGTTTGATGGGGGACAGTGTAGAGGAAGCTTTACTCTGTGTCTAATCCTGTGCTGTCCCTGTCCCGGGAGTGTTTGATGGGGGACAGTGTAGAGGGAGCTTTACTCTGTATCTAACCCCGTGCTGTCCCTGTCCTGGGAGTGTTTGATGGGGGGACAGTGTAGAGGGAGCTTTACTCTGTATCTAACCCTGTGCTATCCCTGTCCTGGGGAGTGTTTGAAACGGGGGACAGTGTAGAGGGAGCTTTACTCTGTATCTAACCCTGTGCTGTGGGAATGTTTGATGGGGGTACAGTGTAGAGGTAGCTTTACTCTGTGTTGAACTCCGTGCTGTCCCTGTCCTGGAGTGTGTTTGATGGGGGACAGTGTAGAGGGAGCTTTACTCTGTGTCTAACCCTGTGCTGTCCGTATCCTGGGAGTGTTTGATGGGGGTGACAGTGTAGAGGGAGCTTTACTCCGTATTGAACTCCATGCTGTCCCTGTCCTGGGGCGTGTTTGATGGGGGACAGTGTAGAGGTAGCTTTACTCTGTATCTAACCCTGTGCTGTCCCTGTCCTGGGGTGTGTTTGATGGGGGACACTGTAGAGGGAGCTTTACTCTGTATCTAACCCTGTGCTGTCTGTATCCTGGGAGTGTTTGATGGGGGGACAGTTCAGAGGAACCTCTAAGTGCTATGTGAGCACTGTAGCTCAGTGTTGGGGCATGGATTGAGGGGAATTAACTGGCATCGTGGAACTATCATCAGTCTAATAATTGTGACATCCCAGATCATCCTCTTGGGACGTGGGATCAAATCCTACTATGGCAGAAGAAATTTAAACTGAATAATTGCGGACTTGAAACCTAAAAAATAATAATCTGATTCACTGGTGACCTTTAGAGAAGGAAATACACCCTCCTTACCCAGTGTGATGTGCTCCCACAGCTAAGCAATTGTCTCTTAACTGGTATCTGAAATGGTCAAACAAAAATTGAGGACGGTCAACAGATACTGGACTTGCCACATCCATGAGAGTGAAATAAATGAAAGTGAGTTAGTTTGAGTCTGTGCCGCTACAGTGGACTGTAACAAGGGGCGAAAGAGGGGGTCGGAAGGAAGGGAATGAATGACGCAAAGTCAACATCCAGGTTCAGCCGGTAAATAGGGAAGCAAATGGACTGCTGTGAAGGGTAGGTCGTGCCTCACAAACCTTATTGAGTTCTTTGAGAAGGTGACCAAACAGGTGGATGAGGGTAAAGCAGTTGATGTGGTGTATTTGGATTTCAGTAAAGCGTTTGATAAGGTTCCCCATGGTAGGCTATTGCAGAAAATACGGAGGCGTGGGATTGAGGGTGATTTAGCTGTTTGGATCAGAAATTGGCTGGCTGTAAGAAGACAGAGGGTGGTGGTTGATGGGAAATGTTCATCCTGGAGTTCAGTTACTAGTGGTGTACCTCAAGGATCTGTTTTGGGGCCACTGC